GGCAAGTAAGACTCCTCTAGAGAGGAGGAAGCCAGTTAGAGACAGGCAACCAACTCCGCATCCAAAGGAGAAGGCAACCGAGACCCTTGACTGGTCTTCTACCTAAGAGGAATACCAACAATACCCGCCTGAGTGAATAGCCGGTGGGAAACAAAAAATCAACTCTTGATGCCTGGGGGATCATCACCTGTAAGAGGAATCAACAGTTGTCTGAGTCAGCTTCCACTTCAAGCTTTCTTGACAGATTTAAGAATACATCTGCAGGGAAGTTACAATCCTTGTATAAGAGCCAAACTGGCAGTAATACCGTCCATTCTTGCCCTCAAATGGTTGGGAATGCACTGTACGTACCGCTTATGGTGTACGGCCCGTATTCTCCTCATTTCATGCAGCAAGCCTTCTTCGGAGGTTAGGCGGCATAAAGCAATGTCCAGCCACTGGACTGGCAGCTTCGTCTGCTCCGCCTGGGTAAACAACCTTCTGCCTTCACCCGAGAAATAACCGAGGAAGCACAGCCGGCCAAGGTTAAAAATGTGTTGGTAGGTACTTATGATGGTACCTCCAACCCGGAAGATCTCCTTATTGCTTATACCAACCTCATGTATTTACAGGGGTTAGACGATGCCACTTGGTGTCTATGTTTTCCGGCTACATTGAAGGGCATTGCCCAACAACGGTTTTGCACCCTGCCAGCCAGTTCCATCAATAGTTTTAAGAAGTTTGCCTTCTTGTTTGCTTCCAACTTCTCAATGAATATTCGTGCGAAGAAAAAAGTCTTGACTTGAGCACCATTAAGTAGGGAGAGAGAGAAGGATTACGCTCTTACGTCAAGCGGTTCAATCTGACCAAAATTCAGATTCAGGGACAATCTACGAAGTAGCCTTTACAGACTTCTTTAAGGGACTGAGAGGCGGGTAGACCTTTAAGTTCGACCTTATCAAAAAAGGGGCATTTACCCTACAGGCATCCCTAGGGGAAGCGGAAAGGTATATTCAAGCAACCAACCTCTGCTCGCCTGGTAGTCAGTCGGACTCCAAGAAGTCTGACAGACAAAAAGACAGTCAGCCTGCTCAGCCGGCGAAGAAAAAAGATGAGAGCAAGAAGAGAAAAGAAGTCTGGGCAGTGAGTGATTCTTATCAGCCGTCCTAGAAGAAAAAGAAAGAATTTAAACCGTACGTCCCCAAGTACGAGTTTAACAAGGATTGCAACTCCATCCTCATGGAGATCAAGGATCGACTATCTCTTGAGAAGCCGAATCCAATGAAGAGTTCCATACAATCAAGGAACAAAAATAAATTTTGCCAATACCATGAGGAAGTTAGCCATGACACCAACGAATACTTCAGCCTTCAGCGGGCGTTGGACCGTATGGCTGACAAAGGGATGTTAAAGGCCTACATTTCCAAGTCCAAAGGGACTAATAAGAAGAACTCGAGGCAGTCCTCTAAGACACCCCAGCCTGCTAGTAGCTCGGAAATTGACAAAAAGTCGGTCTACACTATAGCAGGTGGATTCTCATGCGGTGGCCCTACCATCCGGGGCACCAAGAGCCATCTTCGAAATATGGACAAGGATGATGATGAGCAGGCGTCAGCTAGCTCCTCCTTCCCAGACGTTTTGATCACTGAGAAGGACAGGGGAACCGTCCGCCGTCCGCATGACGACCCAGTTGTCATTGAATGTAAGGTCGCTAACCAGCTTGTTGGGCAAATCCTTATTGACACCGGCAGCTCGTCTGATATCATCAATCACCGGTGCCTGCAAAAGCTAAAATACAAACTCAGCAGCATGCATCCGGTTACCCACCCCTTGGTTGGTTTTGGGGGTGGGATGGTTTATCCAGTCGGTAGGATCGACTTACCTATTTGGCTGGGAGAAAAAGGAAAAGGAAGACACCTAGTCATCAAATTCTTGGTCGTTGAGGAACAAACCGCCTATAACATCATCATAGGTCGTCCAACCCTCAACGAAGCCAAGGCTGTAATCATCCCTTCTCTCATGCTCATCAAGTATGAGAGGGATGATGGCTCTGTTGGTTCCCTGAACGGGGACCAGAAGACGGCCTGGGAGTTCTACCTCTCAGCCGCCAAAGTCACTATGGCTCCAAACGGCCAAGGGCAGGAGCTAATAGACCTTAACAATGTCAAGGATGCCAGCCCAGCCCCACCAGCAGTCCGAAAGCAAAGAAAGGCTCATCAGCTGGTGGAGGTGAAGAAAAAGAAAAAATAGCAAGCACTGACCCGTGAACGGTCAGATGAGCTCCATCCCCAGCCGGCTGGTTAACATATTTATATACCTCTGGATGACAGTCGTCTAGAGCGTACGGCTAAGATTAGGACGGCTGCTTATGCTAAGCTGGCTGCAGATCTGCACCTACTGCTGAAAGAATTCAAAGAAATTTTTGCTTTGAAGTGGAAGAGATGCCAGGCGTCAGCCCAGATCTCGCTTTCCACAAACTCGCCGTGGATCCAAGAAAGAAGCCCATCCGGCAAAAGAAAAGAAATCACAGCGAGGTAAGAAGTCAGGCGGCAGTTGGCGGAGTAAAAAAGCTGCTGGATGCTGGGTTCATTAGGCCATGTAATTTCCCTAACTGGGTGGCGAATGTTGTGCTTGTAAAGAAGCCGAATGGTACCTGGCGTATGTGTGTTGATTACACAGACCTCAACAAGGCATGTCCAAAGGACAGTTATCCGCTCCAAAAGATCGATAGTCTGGTTAACTCTACAGCCGGGCATGCCTTGATGAGATTTATGGATGCCTATTCCGGCTTTCATCTGATACCCCTGTTAAAAAAAAACATGAGAAGACAACCTTCATCACTGATCAGGGGTTATTCTGTTATACTGTGATGTCGTTTGGCTTGAAGAATGCGTCGGCTACATTCCAACGGATGATGAATACAGTCTTCATTAATCAAATTGGGAGGAATGTGGAGGCGTACATTGATGTCATGATAGTCAAATCAAAGCAACAGACGGATCACCTTGCTGTTCTCCAAGAAACCTTCACCACCATCAGGCGGCATAAGGTTATGTTAAATCCTAATAAATGCGTCTTTGGTGTTGAGTCTGGGAAGTTTCTCAAATTCCTGATTGATCAAAGGGGGATAGAGGCTAACCTTGAGAAGATACAGGCGGTGATTGACATGAAGTCACCCCGCACTATTAAGGAAGTACAGAGACTAACCAGTTGCCTGGTGAAAGGAATGGTGTCCTTCGAACAAGTATATTATTTTGATAGCGGTTTCAGAATTATTAGAAAACTAATATATTCAGCAAGGTCAAGTGATCGGAATGCATGGGTGGAGGCTGCTTCCGATCAGTAATCTTAATGTATAATTAATATTACAGCTTAATCTTGACTGAACCCTTCGGGTCACACCGTAGCAAATATACGAACCGACTTGACCAATTAATTCAGAAGAAATAAATTCGTCGCTCGAGTATTAAATATTTAGACGTCGGAAATTCGATCTTAGAGCGTCGAAACCGAGCGTCGGAAGTCTAGTCAATATAATAAAAGACGAGACACGAAAATAATAAATTAAGAAGACCAAAATACCCCTAGCATCAGAATGCCCTGAGCAAACCGAGTGCTAGGGGAATTTGGTATAGAATGGTGGCTAGCATGGCACCAAGCCAAGCCTAGGCTGGCTGGTGCGTGCTAGCGCACCAATGCTAGCAGCGCTGGCCAACGCGTGCAAGGAGCATTGACATGGAGCAGCAGGCCGCATCCTTGATGCGCGGCTTGCTGGACGAGTGCACAAGCCGTGCTGGGCTTGCTGGTCAGCAGCGCAAAGCAGCCCACACGCTTGTGCTGGGCCTGCTAGCAGCCGCACGTGGTAGCCTACCTTTGGTGCCTTGGTGCCCAAGTGTGGTGCCATGTGGCGCATTGTAAGAGGAAGCTTGAGGGTTGAGTTGGCCGGTTTTTGGAGAGGGAGTTCAAGTTTGGTCCCCCCCTCCTCCAAATGGTCCTCACCTAACCTCTCTCATGAGCTTGCCACTTGTTAATTTATTACTAGTTTGATTATTTTTTTTTATTTTAGCTTTAAAATAAAATGGAAAAATCAAATTCTCCCACATTGATGGGAGAGCTTTTTCACTCTCTTGTTTTCCCTATAAATACCCAAGTTGGGGTATTGGGAAAATCAGTTGACTGAGAATTGAAAAAGGCATCACCATTGTGAAAATCTTTATACTCATTTAATCACTCGGGTTTTGGTCGAACCCTGCTAACTCCAAGGTAGCGGACCTAAAAAGTCAGTGTTTGTCCTTTGTGGGTGGATACCGTTGGAGGCTCGGTATTTTCGGAGCTAAAGCTTTCAAGTAAGAGACCATTAAGTCGGGCGAAGCACGCGTTAAAGGTAAATTTCGATTTTATCCTTTTTATGTGTATTTGTTATGCTTTATGGTTTTATTAATTGCAAGTGGTTCTTTAGGTCGGGGTTGTTTCCGCGGTAAGTTGGACTTACCAAACCCCAAGAGCGGTATCGGAGCCACGCTCGTTTCTTTTTAAAATCATAATATCACTACTACAAAATCCGTGCTTTTGAGATGCTTTAAAAGCGTTTTTTCGACGCTAGAAAGCGTCGAAAATTTCCTTCTAGACGCTTTTAACAAGTGTCGAGAATTAGTGAGTCGAAAAAATTATGGGTCATCAAAAAGCGTCGCAAATCTCGACGCTTAATTGTGTCCTAGTTTTTATACGAAGCATCGACATTTGCTTTAGTTGGCGCACTTTCCCAATTTTAGCGACGCTTTTTTGTGTCCAGAGGCTTAAAATTGGCGACGCTTTTTTGTGTCTGAAGTTTCATATATTGTTATTTTGGCGAAGCTTTTCTGTCAATATTTTCTATGATGGGATGCTTTTTCTTATCTATATTCTATAGAGAAATGTCTAGAATATATTTACCAAAAAAAAAATCACACTAAAAATTATTAATAGTATACTAGTATTACAAAAGTATTAATATATATACAACAAAATTAGGCTAAAATTTTTTATTGCATATAAATATATTATTGTATAGTATATGTACAATATCTCATAGTAATGAGTTTTCTATTTAAAAGATATAATTCTAACTTATAATACAATCGTGACTAGTTGTAGTGGAATAAATCTACTCAATGCTTCATCCTCAATAAACCTTCAATTTTGATACTCCTTAATCTACATGCAAGAGGGCATATAGAGAAGTTTAGATTGTGACCAATAATTGCTGCAATCTTCAATCAATCTCCAATGTAGCTGCTCCTTAATATGCTCATTTCCCTCTACTGTTTCTGGATCCTTCCCAGGTAGTGGTTTAGTTTGGCCTTAGGAGACAAACAACATCAGTAGCAACATTGTGGAGCAGAAGCAAGGTCTCAGTGTGGTCAGCATCCTGTAGCAACAACAACAACATCAATGTTTCTACAACTTATTATTCTAATTACAATGATTAAAAAAGAAACCACACTGAAGACTTTAAGGTAGTAACTAGAAGTCACCCCCTTCTTTCAGAATAAGGGTATTCAAGCATAATAAACCAGCAATACAAAAAGAAAGCATTTTTAAAAGAAGGCATTAAAGTGAAATAATATTCATTAATATAACTCAAAACTACACCATAGTAAGCTGAAAGTAAAAAATTTACCACCATGATGAAATGTTAAAACAGGACCAAGACACTTATGCTTCAATAGTAGCTAGATTATGCAGAAGCATATTAAACAGTTTGGAGAAATCAGAATCACAGCATATGGAAACTACAATTAACAAATGCAAAAGATACATTTCATTTTATTGTAAAGGGAAGCTAAGGGGGGATAAGAGAGAGAAAGTTTTAGTTTCACACCTGAGACTTCAATAGGCTAAATGCTCATATCTGAGCGCGTCTAACAAACTTAAGTATGTATGCTTATTTTAGAAAATGGAAAAAAATCACCTTTATTTTACACCAGACCCTCATATAATTGATAATCACTCTCATAGCATTCTACATAGAATGTAACATTGAGTTGCTATATTAAAACATTAACGAGCAAAAATAAAAGTCCAATGAACAGAATTCTCCATTAATTTGTTTCAAGTCATCCTCACTTCTCATGAATCAACATATTAAAATTTGATATTGCTGATAATCTAATTTAAAATTAGCCTTAAAAATGAAGTCAGATTCAAGAACTAGAATTCCAAAATTTAGAGAATATAAAAGGAATAAAATTACAAAATTTTATCTAAAAAAAAGCAAAACCTTCAAAGGACAAAAGTAATATAAGTGATTGTGTTGTGCATATCACATCAGTTTTGAGTTATTTTAAAAATACTTTGTATTACACACAAAAAAAAAAAAAAAAAAGAAAGAATCAAGGACCAAAGTACTTATTGCAAACCTCTGAAGCATCAGTCCTACTCCTTGTGTGATGTATCACCTAACTAGAATATACTAAAAGAGTTAAATTATAGCATCCAAAAAAAATTAAAGCACTACAGTAGGATGAAACGGCAGGGGTAGCACTACAACATCGCATACAAAGCAGTAGGAATCTAACAATGCTAGAGAATTTGTTTTATTCATATTCCTTATTTGGACAAAAACACACAGAAAAGAAAAACAAATAATATCAAGTCATGAACACGTTAGAAAAACTACAATCAGATCATAACATAAACGCACAAAAAGAATTGGTCACTCCCATATAGTTGGCATAGAGGAATTTTCGAAACAAAACATGCTTGATACTTTATCATATCATACTATTAAAATCAACTGTAATATAAAATTTTGAGATAATCTTATAATCTTGCAATTTAAAATTAAAAATAAAAACTCAAGGTAAGCAAAACATACCAGCAGCAAGACGTTGCTTGAGTTATTTTATATAATTGTTAGGATATATACCTGAGAGAATACAATAAATAAGAATTCATTAGTAGTCAGAATCAAATGGATTGTTTTCATAAACAACACTAATACATATAGCAATCCTATTTCATTCATAAAATCAGTTTTTAGTTATTTTAAAATTTATTGCACAACAAAATAAAATAAAATATGAAAGACAAAAGTGCTCATGTAAAACCTCTGAATCATCGCTTCTACTCGTTGTGTGATGTATCACCAAATTGGCAAGTCAACACAAGAGATTAAGTAGGCTAATTTTCAAGAATCTACTTAACGCACCAACTTATTCAATGAGGTTGATGATTTATTTGGATGGAGGCACTAAGGCACCATTGTCAGAGGGATATGATAGTGGGTTATGGTATCCTTCAACAATGTACTAAAAAACTAATTAGTTTAGCTATGATAATTTTGCTAATGCTTCCTTAACCGTGGCACATGTATGCATCATATTTGATGAGCTCAATGAAAAACTAATCAATCATGAGCTAAATCTTAAACATAAAGGTAATAAAGCTCAAATGTTTCTTGCCATTGTCAACTACACAACAAAATCAAGCATTTCATCACCTCGCCAAAACAGGAATGCTAGCACATCTTTTATGAGAAATTTTGAGATATCCAGCTTGGTATCTTAATTTATTTGAATGTAAGTTGAATATAACTTATAATAACTGTTTGGGTCCAATTTAGTCAAAATTGGGCCTAGGCACTAAATGATCCAATTAAAAGCCCAAGGTCAAGGTTCAACTCTCCAATTGCTCAAAAGTCAAAGGTCAGCCCACAAAGTAAGCCAATTGGGCTAAAGCCCAATCTCTCCATGTATGATGAGGTATAAAAGCCATCATATTGACACATTCAAGGGGACATACATTCACATTCCATTTCATATGCTCATTCTTGCATTCAGAAATATTCCACAAAAGCCTCAAGCTACAAACTCTCTTGCATAGTGTCTTCCTTTTACACATTGTACTGACTTTAGCATCGGAGGGGCCTTCCTCGGAAACACCCCCGAGGCTAGTTTACGTGTGTTCACTGTGCAGGAAACCTTCGGCCCAACACAGCTTGGACCGAATCCAGTCTTCTCCATTTCAGCGGACCTTCGGCAAGGTCCCATTGTTTTCAACCGAAACAATTTGGCGCCGTCTGTGGGGAAGACTTTCAAAAATCTTTAAGCCAAATTCCTAACCAAGATCATCTTGCAGTTATCTTAGCAGCCATGGCTAAGAACCGCAAGAGCAAAAGCCTCCGTCAAGGAGCGGGCGAAAAGCCTAAAACCCCTACACCATCGCCCTCGCCGGACCGGAACTCTCCCAAGGGTGCCGGCTCGGGGGGAGGATCACACAAGGAGGATTCCCTATCTCCTATAATGCATGACTCTCAATATAGGCCGGACCACTCTCGGTCTAGCAGGGGTCAGTCTGATCATAGGACATATTCAGTGTCCCAAAGCCAACCATCGGCTGCACGGCCTCATTACCACACTCGGCCGGGGACCCCTTTGACGGGGCCCAGTTCGGAAGAGGTGGCAAGAGCGCTGGCAGTACTCATGGAGGCAATGAGGGCACAGAATATGCCACCGCCGCGTGATCGAACTCCTCCGCATACCCGGCATCAGCGGAGGAAGTTAGACCATGACGGTGGGAAGCTTCCTTCCTTCCGGGAACTGGAAGAGTGGGAGGAGGATTCTTGGAAAAATGAAAAACAGAGGAAGAAGAACTCTCAATTATTTAAAGGATCCTCATCCTCAAGACCAGCAGCGCATAAGAGCAGCAGCTCAGCTTCTCGGCCAGAATCTACTCGCCGAGAACCCGAGACTGCTCGCAGAAGCGTCCTTGACCGACTCGGCGGCCAGGAACCGAGCGTGCGTAGTCGCCTCTCGTTCCCTGCAGCCGAGGCCCAGACTTCCCAGCCAGGGACGAAAACCACTCCTACCTCTCTAAGAGGGCGGAGCGCGGTCCCTTCGGCCAGGAACAAGGGCAAGGCCATTATGCTTCCCGCTAGTTCACCATTCGAGCAATGGATACTGGAAGAGCGCGTACCCACGGTTAAAATACCGTCGCATATCACATATGACGGGACCACGGATCCGAAGGACCACGTGGCCTCGTATGAGACTCATATGCATCTTTGCCCCAGATCCGAGGCGACTTGGTGCAAATATTTCCCAACCACTCTCAAGGGGGTCGCGCAAGCGTGGATCTCCAAGGGAGTAAGGCAAGGCTCCATAACAGGTTGGGATGATCTGTCCTCCAAGTTCAGGAGCAAGTTTTCCACGGCAAACCGCCGAGAGAAGACTACTGCAGAGCTCATGGGTCTGCAACAGGGGGAAACCGAAAGCCTCCGAGACTACCTGACCCGTTTCAGTAACGAGTCATCAAGCGTCTCTCAGCTGGACCAGGGGCTAGCTGTTTTTGCAATGCAGAATGGCCTTCAGCCAGGAAAATTCCTAGACTTCATGGTCATGCATACCCCGCAGACCTTGGAGGAAGCTCTTAGTGCTTCGGATAAGTTCATCCGAGCCGAAGAATGGAATAAAGCAAAAACCCAACCTCAATCCGGGGGAGGGAAACAGAGGCAAATACCTTTGTCTGAAGGCCAAGGCCATAAGGCAAAGGGAAAATCAAAGGCTCCGGAGCCATCTCCGGCCAGCGACTTAAAGAAGGACAGGTTTGCCTCATACACAGGCAGATATGAGTCCTACACTCCGCTCTCTCTTCCACGCGCCAAAATTTACAGTGTGACGAAGGAGGAGCAGAGTTACCGAAAGCCGAGACCACTCCCAGAGTGGTATCAGCGAAAAAATAAAAATCAGTGGTGTGAGTTCCACGAGTCTTCGGGCCACAACACTGAGGAATGTATCCAGCTGAAGGACCAGATAGAGGACATGGTCCGGAAGGGATACTTGAAAAAATACATCGCGGATCACCGCGAGAAAAAAGAATCCGAGAGGCTAGCAAAGGACCCTCGGCAGGACCTTGATTTCCCCCGGAAAAACAGTAAAAAACCGGAGGGGAAATTCCCTCCGATCAATGTTATCTCGGGAGGAATATACTCTCGGAGGGAGCACAAGCGTCACCTTAGAGCTTTGACTCACCAGGTGAACAACGCTGACATTCAATCTCCCCAGTCGCCGGTGCCGAACATGACGTTCACAGCCGCCGACTGCCGGGGGATTACGTACCCTCACGAGGATCCGTTGGTGATCATCGCCACGGTGGCCAACCACGACGTCAGTAAGGTCCTTGTTGACGGTGGCAGCGGAGCAAACATTCTGTTCCGAAAGGCCTACAACCAAATTAAGCTGAAGCCCAAGCACCTTACGCCGGTACCCTATCCGGTATCCGGGTTCAATGGGGCTTCAACTTATCCAGATGGGAAGGTGACGCTTCCTGTCACCATCGGTTGCGATGAGGCAGCCCGGAACGTCATGATTGAGTTTTTGGTCATCGACGCTCCTTCAGTGTACAACGTGATTTTGGGGAGACCCATAATTCACGAGATCCAAGGGGTCGTCTCAACTTATCATCAGCTGATGATTTACGTCTCAGACGCCGGCTTCCCCGAAAGGATACAGGGCAACCAAAAAGACGCCCGAAGGTGCAACTACCTCAAGCCATCCAGTAGTCGCCCAGATGACGACAGGGATGAGGAGGAGAAAGAAAAAGAAAGAGAGCCAAGCACAAAAAAGCCGAAAGGCCTAAGTGCTTCGGCCCAAGGATCCGTGCCCAGAGAAAAAGGTCCCGAAAGGGAGAAGGTTGACTCTTCAGCTGAGCCGCAAGACTCAGAGAGCCAGCCGAAGAACACAAAGACTGGGACACCTGCTGACATTGGCAGCAGACCAGATTCTGAAGAGTCCAGTCCATCGGCAATGGACATGGACCAACAGACTGAAACAGTTGAGTTGGCCGAAGGAGATGCTGAGAAATGTGTAACAATCGGGATGGACCTTGATCCTAACACCCGTTGTGAACTTATTCAGCTCCTTCGGGATAACAGAGATGTGTTTGCTTTCTCGGCAGCTGATATGCCCGGGATAAGTTCAGACCTCATCTCCCATAAGCTTAATGTTGACCCAGCATGTCGACCAATTAAGCAAAAGAAGCGGAATTACTCCGCCAATAAGAACCGAGACATCGCAGCCGAAGTCAAAAAATTATTGGAGGCGGGGTTCATTGAACCTTGTCAATATCCGGAATGGCTGGCAAATGTGGTGATGGTTCAGAAGCCCAATGGTACCTGGAGGATGTGCGTTGATTTCACGGACCTAAATAAGGCTTGTCCAAAGGATTTCTATCCCTTGCCAAGAATCGATCAGCTAGTCGATTCGACAAGTGGCCATGCCTTGCTTAGTTTCATGGACGCATTCTCGGGGTATCATCAGATCTTTATGCACCCCGACGATCGAGCCAAGACAGCATTCGTCACGAACGCTGGGGTGTATAATTACAAAATGATGCCCTTCGGATTGAAAAATGCGGGGGCAACCTATCAAAGGCTGGTGGATCAAATTTTTGCCGATCAAAAGGGCCGAAACATGGAAGTCTATGTTGACGATTCAATCGTCAAAAGCAAAAAACTAGAGGACCATGTAAAGGACCTGGCTGAAACTTTCGCCACCTTGAGAAAGCATCAAATGAAGCTGAATCCGAAGAAGTGTGTCTTCGGCTGAAGTCAGGGAAATTCCTGGGTTTCATGGTCAGCAAAAGGGGGATTGATGCCAATCCCTCTAAAGTCAAAGCGGCGCTCGACCTTCCTGAGCCGAAAACGAAGAGGGATGTTCAGCGGCTCACCGGAAGAATGGCAGCCCTTTCGAGGTTCATTTCCAGAGCTTCGGATAAGGGGTTACCCTTCTTCAAAGCCCTGAAACTCCCGAAAACAAAAGAGCTTGTTTGGGAGGAAGAGAAAAAAGACGCCTTTCAACAGCTTCGGGAGCATCTGGCTCAACTCCCAACGCTGGCTAGCCCAGTTGAAGGAGAAACTCTATACCTATA